AAGTATTGATGGCATTTTACAGATATGGAAACTGAGGGCAGTGTGGCAAAGGATTTGCTTCAGACACATGTAGGTAATGTCAGGGCCTGAATCTTTCCAGAGTTGTCTCATTAAACAATCAATATTTCCTGGCTCCTGGGTGGGACTACAGTATCCATCCCTTCAGAAAAGCTGGTCTGGGAGCACCTGGGTGGCTCAGTCAGTTGAGCATCTGAGTCTCGGTTTCGGCTCCAGTCATGATCTCATGATTTATGGGTTTGAGCCCAGTGTCTGGCTCTGCACTGACAATGCAGAGCCTGCTTGGAATTCTCTCTCTCTTGCCCCTCCCCATTCCTCTCTCTCAAAATAAATAAATAGACTTTTTAAAAAATCATAAAAAAAGAAAAGCTGGTCTGTTTTTTCCCACCAGGCCTGAAGAAAAAAATAGAAAAACAAGGTTCAGAGTATTAATATGAAAGATACTAGAGCACACTTAATTCCACTCCCACAGACTAGGGCTTGAATCTCACAGTACTGAAAGACATTTCAGTGGTGCTGAGACTGCCAGGGGCATGTAAGAAGGAGGCTGGAGGAGAAGGGGAACAGATCAGAGCTGCTGGGATACCTTTCTTGGTGGACTAGGATGGGGGGAGGGCCACTGATCCCAAGGGCGTAATGACAAGGTCAGCCTCACCTCTTCTCTCTGTTCTTGGCAATAGGCAGTCTAGCTAGAAAGAGCAATCTGTCAAGTCTAATTAGAGTAGCACAAGTGAACAATGGGTGCCTAGCTCTGAAATGACAGCCCAGTTTAATGGGGTGGAGGAGCTTGGGAGGGACGTGGGCTTTGTGTGCTCAGAATTGGTTCCTTCACATGGATCCTTTCCGAAATCAAACTGCAAAACAACTTCACCTGGATCCTTCTTTACTTCGCCAGAAATCTTCAGGTCCCTGCGCTTTTTAACACAGGCACATCCAGCAAAAGTAGAGAACCTGGCTCTGTTTCAAAGGTGAGGTTGTAATTTAAAATAGTTACATCATGGGTTGTTGGCACGGCGCGGTGCTGTGTGCATGGAAGTGATATTTATTAATTTGTTCATGTTTCTCCTTCGTGTTTAATTATATTGGTGGCATTAGTATTTCTTTTATTACTTTTGAAGCCCTTTTTATTGTAAGGCTTATAATTGGATTCTCGAAATTTCAGAACAGCTTGAAATTTTAGCAGGACCACAAATAAGCACATTTAAGATGCAAAAAAATTTTTAATTACATTTTTGGCTCATCCTTTAAATGCTGTCTCTGATTTGAATATTTTAGTTCTTGCATCAAAAATAGGATTTGCAGGTAAAGGGTATATTTTATAAATGAATCAAATAAATACATTCCTTAAAATAAATACATGGATGCACATTATTGAAGCTTAAAAACTATGCATGTACATAATCTATAGTCTCAAATAATGGAGGCCTGTTATCAGCAAATATTATATTGAAGACTGATGGTTTGTTCATTTAACTCTGCCTCAGTGTGGGGCATACTTAAAGGTGTGAGAAAGCAGAATTCTCTAAAGTGGGAGAGAAAGAATGGGAGGTAATAAACACAAACATAATTTCTAAGTTCTAAATGTCAGTCTGCGTGATTTTGCTATTCTTTCTTGTGTATTATCTCACTTGATCCTTGAAGCGCCCTATGAAATATCTTACTCTTATCTTCACTCTACAGATAAGAAAGTAAGGCCCTGAGAAATTAACCCAAGGTTACAGAGAAATGCAGAGTCAGGCCTTGAACTTCGGCTGTCTGCTTCCAGGTCTAATGCACTGTATTTCTGCTAGAATTGGGAGACATTGCATTTTTAAAATCATCCAATTCATAATAATAATGCCAACATGAGAACTCTCTTCTAATCCACTGGTCTCTCATGAACAGGAATGAGCAGTAGATTTTAGTTTGCAGTGTTTGTACCACTGATGGCACTTTACTTGCGTGTTGCTAATCTTTTCTTCTCTAGCAGCATTGCTTGTTTCTTTTCTAATCTTTCCTTCTTTGTTTTTCTTTTACATGCATGTTATTTGAATAAATTATCTTGTAAAAAAGATCAAGTCAGCCAATGCTACCCACCTCACCCCAGACCTAGTTCTCCACTCCCAGGAAAATCAGTTATCAATTTGGGGTATAACCAACTGTTGTCTATGTGTCTTTGCATAGGTGTGTGTGTGTGTGTGTGTGTGTGTGTGTGTGTGTATCATATTGTTTTGTGTCTTTTAAAAACATATATGGTACCCTGCTGTATTTTTTATTCTGCAGTTGGCCCTTATTTTTTTCAACTTCCTATGCCAGTGGAGATCATTTTGTGGCAGTCTGTTTAAATGTAACTCATTAAAAAAATTTTTTTTAATGTTTACTTATTTTTGAGAGAGAGCGGCAGAGCATGAACAGGGGGGAAGAGCAGAGAGAGAGGGAGACACAGAACCCCAGCCAGGCTCCAGGCTCCGAGCTGTCAGCACAGAGCCCAATGTGGGGCTCAAACTCATCAGCTGTGAGATCATGACCTGAGCAGAAATCGGACACTCAAAGGACCGAGCCACCCAGGCGCCCCGTAACTCATTCTTTTTAATTGTCACATAGCATTCCATGCATTGTCACTTTTACTGTTTCCTCTCTACCTTGCGTCTGCTTTTGAAATGACTTACTGTCACATCAAATCAACATTAACCATATTTGTATTAATGGGGCAGGTAGAGGTGGGCATAAGCTTTCTAGCCGACTGAGTGCTAACTAGTAAGGAAGAGGATGTAGCAAGCACCTAACGTGCACTCTGAGCAGAGGGAAGGGCCTAGGGTAGGAACCATGTTACCTATCTGCAGTTTTGTTACCTCTCAGCCTCTGAATTTTAACATTTTGTCATTGTTTTTTTAAACCCACCTGTTCTCAGAGCTACATTCCTTATATATAAGAGATAGTAGTAACATACTTGACAGTGCTGTGAGGATTAAATGGATAGTACCCAGGAAGGAGCATCAAAACTGTGCAGACTGAGACCTGTGAGTTATGAATTGTTTGCTTACCCTCTTCTCCCTCTTTCCCTCCCACCTCAGACATTGTGTTGTGAGTAAATGGAGCTCCATATGTTATTAGATATTCTGGAACATCAGTGTGCCTGAAAACGTGGCTTTTGGAGACGGACTTATCTCCGGATTCAAGTCCTGATGAGGTTATTTATTAGTTTTGTTGCTTAGGTAATGTTTTGTCAGAGGTAAAATAAGGGCAGTAGTAACAGTAAACTTAGCCTGTGGTGAAGTATAAATGAGATAATGTACATGAAGTACTTATGTAGTTTCTGGCATATAGGAAAGCCAGCTGCTGTTATCGTTATCAGCCAGAGAAGCTTAATATCTCCACTTCCATATTCCAGTGTGAAATCTCACTGTCGAGTTTCCTCAGATGTGACAGTAAAGGCAGGCCTAATCTCAGGATTAAAGCACAGCCATTCATCATTCCTTTAGTCCATACTTTTTAAATTTTTTTTTTTAAGCAGCTCTTTCCTGAGCACCTACTGCATGTCTAATACCCTGCCAGGTACTGTGTAAAACATAAAGGAAGTGCATGACAGGGCTCTTGCCCCCAAAATGCTTACGGCTATTAAACTGAAGTAGGTTAATATACCAGGTTAACACAGAAAAGGACCCGTCAGATGAAAGGCATTATGTCATATGCAGTCTGGGTAACCAATAACAACATACACCCAGGGTAGTAGTATGAATATACATGCCCAGTGACTATTTTCTCAAATTTTTCTGTTAATTACAAAGGTATATGTATGTACACCTGCTTATTCATTCCTTATCTAGCTTCAGAATTATTTAACTTTTTTTATGTTTAAGTTTTGAGAGAGCTCACATGCACAAGCCAAGGAGGGGCAGGCGCAGAACCCAGCATGGGGCTTGAACTTACGAATTGTGAGATCATGACCTGAGCCAAAATCAAGAGTCGGATGCTTAAGCGACTGAGCCACCCAGGTGCCCCCAGGATTATTTTAGAAGCTCATCTGTGCCTCACCTGTGGAACTGGAGCATTAAATAAGCTGCTAACACAGGGCCAGTCTCCTGGCTGGGGGTTGCTCTCATACCCTCTGGAAAGAGCTGGAAAGAATGAAGTCACCAGGAACTGGCAGAGAGGAGCTGCTCTTTACTCAGCCTAAGTCTTGACTGAGTAAAAAGGGAGGACAAAATAGCCGATATTTAGTGAGCAGATAAAATCCCAAAAATATAGGAACTGTTATAAAGAGCCTGAGGATGCTAAGGTCCTAAAAGACCTTAAAGTATTTATTTTGGGGAGGAAGTTCCCAAGAAGTAAACCTATAATATTTCCAAAATGTCAGCCTTGTCCTTCTCAGCCCAGTAAGCTTTCTGGGACCCCTAGAACCCATTTTCTGTGGGCCCAAACTGAAGTTCCAACTGGACATAAAAGGCCACCTCAGTTGTCAAGCACAGAGGCCATGTGTGGCTTTTGGTTTAAGAACGAGTCGAGCCAGCAGATGCTATGAGTGCTTGGGGAGTGGCATGCCTATTTCTGATATGAGAACAAGCATCCTTTGTCTTAATTCCACACTTAAATCTGGAATGGACCATTCTGAAGGTCCTTACTTTTAAAGGAGTTATGTTAAAAATCATTCTTATTAGGAAAAAGTCACTTATAGTATAAAAAGGTGTGATTTCTCAGAGAGCCTTTTTTTTTTACACTGTTGAAGGGATTTCTTAGCAGACAAAGGAATTTGCTCATTAAATCATAAGCCCTGTGAGAAAGAGATTCTTAAGCATAAGGTGCAGCGCATGTAGTTGTTAGGTTAAGTGGGATTCAAAACACTGTCTCCACTATCCCTTTCTGAAGGCGATCTCTTTATTATTTGATAAAGAGGGGCACCTTTCTGAAAATTTCCCCCATAAACCCAGAATTAAAATGTACAGCACATTAGAATTCTAAAAACAATTCGACCTTGCATTTCACAGAGTTCAGGGCTCCAAAAATATGCTGTCCAAATCATTATTGGCGATTACTTTATTTTGCCCTTGTATAAGAGGGGAAAGCACCTGGGGTATGAGACTTGAGAGAGAGCCCATTTTCCAAGGAAGAACAAAGAGAACCGAGGGAGAAGCTGCTTTGCTTTGTCTGAGCCAACTCCCTCTGAGGGTTGTGGCAGGAAAGGCTTAGAGCTGTATCCCTGCCCATTAGTTTAGTACCGCTTGGTTCAGCAGTGTTCAGAGCACACTATTAATGTTATCAGCTGCCCTGTTCATGTAGCCTCTCTCTAGAGGACACTTTTATAACACAGTAGCACTTAGGGAGACATTCCCTCCTTTACTTCTGTTTCTCTACTGATAAACAAATGTCAGGCTTCCTCTTGGATTCTGTCCCTGATCCACTAAATTACTATATATTCATTGTTCTTCTTTGTGCTCCAAACACTGAGCTCTCAGTGCTCATCTGGTTGGATCCAGATTGTGAAGGCTACAGGCCAAGTGATCATGTACAGGACTTGGGGACCCAACCTTCCTTTTCCAGGACCCTCAAGAAGCCTTCTGTTCCAGCAAGGTCCCTAATTAGTGTGTTTCTGGTGCTGCTGGACAAAAGAGAGGGCCCTGTTTTGAACCAGAGCCTATAATTTATGCCTACAGCTATACCCCGATGGGAGATGGGAATTTTCATGTCAGAGGACAGGGACCTGATAAACAGCATGACTAATCCAAATGAAACCGTCCACCTATGGATCTTTACTCCCTTACTAGAAGAAAAACAGAGATGTGTGGCTTTTACACTCATTGCCCTGAATCTCTGCGTGTGGAAGGGACTCAACACATCATCTGTGCAATGTGAAGGACATAGCTCTAAAGGAGAAAGCATCAGCTTCAAGAAGGGCAGCATAAAGTTCTGTGCAGCATAAAAAGGGGAAGCTGCACTTGGGCATCATCTTGCAAGTTACAGTTGCCGGCAGTCGCGCGGCTGCAGCGCAGAAGCACAACTCCTCATCTTCCGTCTGTGGGCTTCAGCCATAGGGGGAGAAAGGTGGTGCCACAGCTCTCTCCCAGTGGATGATGATGACGTGTTCTAAGCAGATGATTGCGGAGGCTCCTGTCAAATGAGTAGAGAGAAAAGGGAAGTGGGGAGAGGAGGAGGGACTCAAGAAACAGCACTGCAACAACCCTGGAATAAAAATGAGGGGCCATTATGGAAATGATAAGCACAATCACCTTGAAACTCAGTCCCTTGCCCGTTTGGGTTTTTTTTCCAATTTGCTTCTGATAACCTCTTATCATATTTTGTAAATAAAGCAGCATAGGATAAATGAAAGAGAACTTCTATCAGGTTCTATTTTCACTCTTTTTTAGGACCATCTTAAATAGCAATGATCTCTTTTAGCTCCAGGAAGCATTAAAAACAGTCAAACCCTTTGAAACACTGTGTTCCCTAAACCATAACGGTCCTGTAGGTTTCCCTTCTCGACAGAAAAGCTGCTCGGGTTGTGCCCATTACTTTCAGTTTCGTTGGGTGGGGGTATATTCTGCAGCATCCTGAGGGCAACGGACTTTGGAATGTTGGCTCGGTCCAAGCGGTCGCCGTGGCGATGCCGCAGCCTCCGGCGAGATCTGAGCTGTTTCCCTTTTCACCAGCAGGCGGCGCTGTTTTTCGCGGCGCCCGCGGCTGCCACCGCCCAGCTCGGAGGTCACTTCCGCCGCGGCCTGGGGAGGCTTCCCTGCTCTCTACCCTCCTTTCTGGTGTTTTTCTGAGGCAGTCTTTCTTTACCCAGCACTGCCTGCTAATGTTTCTGACGTTACTATACTCTGACATAACTATACTCTTATGACAGTTTATGCTACTTTAAAACTTGCTTCTTTGGCCCTTTGAAAGGTTGGAAGTCCTTAAAAAACATGTATTTGGGATTGCATAATCACGGTTTTTTTTTTTTTAAACTTCTAACGCATTTCAACCTAGTTCAATAAAAAGGGCATCTGACCCGACAAAGAAGGCAATAGATGTTGAAATTTAGAATGCTTAAAAAACAACAAAAATACCCCTTCCTGTTTATTCCAGACTCTTCTACAGTGTAGAGAGCCCCTCACGAAAATTCAGCTGCGGCTCCATCTGCTGGACGCGCGGCGCCGCTGCAAGGCCCTGCCCGGGAAGGAGAGGTGTTGGCTGCAGGTGAGGAAGGCCCGGCCTTTTCCCCAGGAAAGGCTCTGGCACCAAGGTAGCATTCACATGCAGGTCCGCTTATCTAAAAAGAGACCAGACTGATCCTCTGCAAGAAAATGGGCACAGCTTTGAGGAGCCCTCAGGCCTAAATGTACTGGCATATGTCATATGGGCGTTCTCTTAGGAAAACCTGGGGCTTCGGGGAAAAGAGGGGGCGTAATTCATTTCATTCCACTCGCACGTCTCTCAGGTGCAGGGCCGAAAACTAAAACTGTATTTTTCATCAAGGCACACAGGGTAGCATCAGGGGCAGAAGTCAAAATGTGTTTGTTCTCGTCAATGGAACTGATTTTGCCAAATAGAAGGAATTTCAGAGGTGAAGAGGGTGACAGAAATAAAATTAATCTGGGAATGGGGACGTGTTAAAATGTGGCCTTGGCTGTGGTTTGATATAAGGTCACTAAGCCCTGTACCATTTTCCAAACTCTTGAGTCAGTTCTGATTTACGTGAAGATTTTTCTATTTAGGAGACTTGAGGCCTTTTTCACAAAAAGGTCTAAACCCATTTGCAAATGCATTTATATACATACTTCAACACAGACCTGCATTCACCATGGTTGCAAACTTTGTTAAAGGCCATAATCAGAAAATGCTTGGGGGACTGATAGAAAGCAGAGATTTAGAGCAGAACTACAGTTGGCCCACCCATCTGAAAAAATATGCTATCACTGATAGGAAACATTTTTAATGGAACAATGTTAGCAAATGTAGTTCTGACCCTCCAGCACTTGATAATAACTTTCTAGCACAAATGAATTTTTGTGTTCTAGGGTGAGTTTATAATGGTTTTACTGAAAGATGAAGTAGCTTTACCAACAATATAGTCTACAGGAACATAACTAGTCATGTGAGTCCTCCGGGTCCATGTCATGTGACTTCCACATACGGTCAATGTTTTAGAATGACATCCTTTGGTGCTTCAATAACTAAGCCCTCATGGATGAGACTTACCTGATTTTACTGCCATAGTGAGTAGTTTCATAGAGAATATGTTAAGCCTCCACATGGGCACTTAAAGAAGATACACAACTAAGAAAACAGATGAGAAATAAAATAAAAATCCACTGCAATGATATGTGAGTGGACTGTATCAGAGAACGAGACTGTGTATATGTTATGTTTTGAATTAACAGAGTTACTGGGTACTTAATTGTGACCAGTACAGGAAAGATTTGATGGCTGATACTACATCTATCACACCTCTCTTCTGCTAATGTATTTGGGTTTTTAAATTTTTTAAATTATTTTATTTAAAAATTTTTTAAATGTTTACTTATTTTTGAGAGAGAGAGAGACAGAGCACAAATGGGGGAGGGTCAGAGAGAGAGGGAGACACAGAATCTGAAGCAGGCTCCAGGCTCTGAGCTGTCAGCACAGAGCCCAATACGGGGCTCGAACCCACAAACCCTGAGATCATGACCTGAGTCGAAGTCAGTTGCTTAACCGACTGAGCCCCTTATTTATTTGAAGAGAGAGAGAGTAAGGGCCCCTGGTGGCTCAGCTGGTTAAGCGTCTGACTTCGGCTCAGGTCATGATCTCACAGTTTGTGGGTTCGAGTCCCATGTTGGACTGTGTGCTGACAGCCACCTCAGAGCCTGGAGCCTGTTTCAGATTCTGCATCTCCCTCTCTCTCTGACCCTCCCCTGCTCAGGCTGTCTCTCTCTCTCTCACAAAACAAAACATTAAAAAGAGAAAGAGAGAGAGAGCATGTGCTTGTGAAAGTGGGGGAGGGACCCAGAGAGGGGGGGACATAGGATCCAAAGCAGTCTCCTCATTGATAGCAGTGAGCCCAACTCACGACTCAGACTAGAGCTCAGGAACCGCAAGATCATGACCTGAGCCGAAGTTCCACGCTCAACCCACTGAGCCCCTCTACTAATATATTTGTGGAGGAGAGTCTTTCATAGACATAAATAGCTTGATAACAAACAAGCACTGTGAGTGGTCGTGTGAAGTGGAGAATTGAACATCCCTCAGTGAAGGTCCTTTCATGGCCTTTGTCTCAGGACAGTGAGGGACAGGATCAGAGGTGGAGCAGTGAGGAACCAGATACCTGAAGCTTTCACAGTCTTTCCTCTGTTGTGGCACAAGGCAGTCCCTGGAAATGGAATGTTTTGTCTTCTGTGTTTCTACTTATTTCATTAACTTGTTTGCTTAGAGGGTGCCTTCATCCTTAGAGCAGAGCCACATGTATTAACCACCTGTCACTTTTTTTTTTTTTTTTTAGTGTTTTATTTATTTCTAGGAGAGAGAGAGAGAGACAGACAGACAGACAGACACAGCGTGAGCAGGGGAGGGTCAGAGAGAGAGGGAGTCACACACTGAAACAGGCTCCAGGCTCTGAGCTGGCAGTCAGCACAGAGCCCGACGCGGGGCTCGAACCCACGAACCGTGAGATCATGACCTAAGCGACAGTCGGACGCTTAACCGACTAAGCCACCCAGGCGCCCCCCACCTGTCACTTTCTTAACAGACTTCCCAAGAGTATTCACTTAGCGCTATTTCTGGTGAACTTAATATAAAAAGGCTGCCTGTTCCCTCCCCCCTCCACCCCCCTGCAAATGAGCCTCGGATTCAAATATTTTGTTTTTGGAAAAAAAGCAAGAGAAAATGTTTCTAGGGATGATCTCTCCCTTGACTTTCGGCCTATTCTAAATTGGGCTTTTGAGAGAATGTGACCAATCTCTCAAGAGCATGAAACAGATCAAACTTGGTAGAAATTTCTGTCTGGACCCTACAACTAGTTAAGTGTGTCTCTCCTGGTCAAAATCCTGACTTCACAGAGGAATTGTCTTACCAGTGTCAATCAGACTCACTTTTGTTCTCTCAGCATAGATCAGCCCTCTTCTCTCCCCTTCTTGCAAAATGTCCCACTGACTCCTGCTTAGCAATGCGCTTTTGTTTTCTGGTCACTTCCTCTGAGACCTCCCTGAGCCCCAGGTGAAGGGAGGGTGCCCTCATGGCTCCCCGTCACAGCTCTGTAATACTATATCATCACTGCTTATCTGTCTGTCTCCCATACTAGGCTCTTACATCCTATGAAAACGGGACCATGGTTATCATTATGCTCATTTTCCATCCTCAGTGCCTAATTAGTGCCTCAGATCAAGCAGATGTTAGGTAGGAACTCAACACACGGAGATGGGAGGGAAGAGTATTTCTGAGGACGGAACCGGCATGAACACATACACAGGCATAGACCTGGAAGGGTGCCTAGGAGCATGAATGTAGTGTGGTTAGCCTGAGGGGGTGGACAGGGGAAGCGATGAGAGAGTCTGGGCAGTCCTGCATATTGTGAATGTTAGGGCAGTGTTCATCAAAAGATGAAATAGTTGCAAATGATGATATCTCTGGTGTATTGTGTATTGCATAATTGCTTTGCTTAGATTTTCATCAAAAACATGGAGCCATAGATCTAGCCCATTCTGCTTGTGGAGGATCACTCAACTGGCAAAAAACAACCTACATGGTTTAAAGTTTAGCTTTATTTTTTTAAGGTTTATCTACTTATTTTGAGAGAGAGAGAAAGAGCGCGAGTTAGTGTGCATGCAAGTGGGCAAGGAGCAGAAAGAGAAGGAGAGAGAAAATCCCCGACACAGGGCCCAGATTCATGAATTGTAAGATCATGACCTGAGCCAAAGTTGGATGTTTGACCAACTGAGCCACCCAGGTGCCCCTAACTTCATTTTTCTAAATGAAAAATACTATATTCCTACAAGGCCTTCCACCACCTCACTGTGACTTCTAATTCTAAGATTGCCATTGTCTGCAGCACAGAGGCTTGCCAGTATTTGGCCAGGGAATGAAATAAGGTGCTGCCCTGTCAGTGTTTCTTAATTGGCTCTCAAGAAATTCTCCTTCAAGGATAGTGCATTCTCATGTTATCCCTTCGTTTGGGGCAAAACACAGTTCAGATGGCTGAGGGGTGTTTTTCTGTTGTGAAAGGCCAGAGCAGTTGGGAAGGGAGGCTAGGAAAAAGAAATCCTCAATGCCAGCCATTCCCAGGCAAATCACTTTCATTTTGTAGTACATTTTGTAGTTCAAAATCTGGAAATTGAGCCCCTCAATACTGTGCTGTCTATAGTATACACAGTTGGCCCTTGGACAACACGGAGTTAGGAGCATGGACTCCACTGTGCCACTGAAAATCCACATAATTTGCAGGGTGCCTGGTGGCCCGGTTGGTTAAGCATCCAACTCTTGATTTTAGTTCGGGTCACACTCTCACAATATGTGAGTTGGAAACCCACATCAAATTGCACTGTCAGT